TCTGCCTGTACCGTTGAATCAGCCTGGCTACTGTCAATGGTGTACAACCAAACCTTCTGGCAATTTAGACCTGTGTTGCCCCAATTTCGGCCATACCGATGGCTCTCTCTCTCTCTGCTCCTGTGACAGTCGTGGCATTTCTTTTGTGTGCTTTCATCACGTGTGGTTATACCCTGCAGACGAACGCATTTATACAGCTAACATGCACGTGCAGTGTATGCCATAGGCGAGAAACCTGGTTCACCATCTTTTTGTGACCGCACGAGCGCCGTCAAAGGTTCGGGTGAGGTGGTTTTTGGTACCTGTTCCTGGGCAGTCATATTCCCAATACCAACTTTCCACTAGTTATCGCTGTTTTTAGGAAAATTACAAATTGCCAACCTATACTTCTTTTGCCGCTTTATATACAACATAATAGCAGTAAAATAAATATCAACGGGTCCTCCTTTTACCGGAGCCAATGAGAACACGAAAGTCGTGTGTCCTGTAGACAACAGTCTAGAGTCTTGTTAACACCCCACCCCAGTGTATGTTCTCACCCTTACCCTAAACCCTGAACAAACACACCCCGTCACCTGACACACCTGTAATCTGCGGTACATCAAAGACCGGCTCGTCTCGCTCCGCTCACCTACAGTTTGATCAGTGTTCGATGTACCAACGTCTGGGGTTTAAGTGGATTAGGGCATGACCCACATGAACACCATTCTCCTGTGTCTGCGACATTTCTGTAAAGGTTAGAATGTCGCTTGGGTCACATGGGAGGTCACATGACGCGCGATGGTTGTCTAGAGTTACTTCCCCTTGAGTGCCTCCAGACACGGGTCTTTGGTCAGGCAACGGCGGATTATCACTATAATCAGTGAGCAGGAAGTGTCTGGAAATCTATACTATATTGGGTGCATTGTTTATACGATCTTGCTGTCATTCAACCCATGTAGACGATACTCTTGCTTAGTGAAGATGAATAGCTGAGGGCAAAAGTGTATCTTGTAATGCAAATTATCACGAAACAACACTTAACATGATATGGCAACGTCCGTATATAAACATTGGAGAATTATCTGTACCAGGAGAGCGAATATTACCCGTTTGATTATGGTCTTGCATTATTTCGTCAGTCTGACCAAAAATTTGTGACCTTGACCTTAACGGAAGACGAGTAACTTTCTTGCTTACTTTCTCCCTCAATCGATAAATGCAACTATTGGTTAAATTAACCCCAGTGAAAGAATTTTAGGCTACGATACATTATCTAGAAGCTATTGTTACTTTAAATATGTTCTAACTATTGCTACGATGTCTTGTGAAGCTGTTGCCCTATGAAATAATCTTCAAACTATTGTTTCTGTAACGCACCTGCTATATGGTAACTTTTTCGTGAAGAGTGTTCATAATTAGCGATAATGACGTCAACGTTGACGTCATAAGGACTAAAACGCGAGCAACATATATTGTATCAGGCGTTACACACTAGGGTTTAACAAAGTGTATTCATTTTTATCTGGGGTTGTGGAGACTCTCACGACTCTCGGTATTACGGATCATTACTATTTTATCTCTATACGAGCTAACACTTCACTCAGAAATCGGGGGCACCGGTGGCCCAGTCGTCTAAGGCGCCGCAATTCTCTGTGCAGAGTTGCCAGAACACGCCAGACACGCCAGAAACCTATGATTGTGGGTTCGAATCCCGGTTCGCCCCGATTATGTTTCTAGGTTTGTCAGCACCATACCCGTGCTCGGGGGTTTACCGAAGTGGTAAACGTCTAAGACCTGCATCACTTCGGGTTTTCCTCCCACATTAAGCTGACACGCCGTGATATTACTGGAATACTGTTAAAAGCGGCGTAAAATTCAACTCACTCACTCACTCGGGAATCTTATCTCACCATAGGGATGTTAGAATGACGACGGTGGTCAGCACTGTTATTTTTATCAGGTCCTGACCTGACATTTGAACTGACATTACTTATCCTTTTTGAATTTTGTGTTTTTGTAAAAGTACAGATCACCATTTTAACTGTTGTGCATTGTGTTTTCCAATGGGTGTAGAATACGAAAATCCCTTTGTGCCAATATGTATTACCTATATGATGAATTTGGAGGGGGAAATACTTATTGCTAGAACATTTACGAAGAAGCCACCATCATTCACCTGCTGGTAAGATAAACCTCGGAACATATGCATAGACCCGTGAAGATTCGGAGTAGAATAGGTCTTCAGTAACCCATGCTTGCCGTAAAAGGCCACTATGCATATCGTAAGAGGCGACTAACGGGATCGGGTGGTCAGGCTCGCTGACTTGCTTGATGCATGTCATCGTATCCCAATTGCGTGAATCGTTGTTCATGATGTCAATCACTGGATTGTCTGGTCCACACGCGATTATTTACAGATTTATAGCTGGAATATTACTGAGTTCGGCGTTAAACAAGAAATATGTGTATAATTATTGCGGAAGTGCTTCCTACATCATGTGTCGCTTTGAACTTCCAACGTCTACCAATCAAAACATTATGAAAATCCCTCGCTACATATATTTTGTATACTAATGTCAGCTAGAAAATATTGCTCTCTGTGTTCACCATGATTTGTTAAAAAGAAAATGTCACCATACCTTCCCTGTATGCATGTACTATGGGCTCTCTCCAGTCAATGTAAGAAAGATTAAATAAAAGAGTGAGTGAGTGAGTGAGTTTGATTTTACGCCGCCTTTAGCAATATTACAGCAATATCACGGCGGGGGATACCAGAAATGGGCTTCACACATTACTCATGTCGGAAAACGAACCCAGGTCTTCGGCGTGACGAGCGAACGCTTTAACCACTAGGCTACCCGACCGCCCCTTAAATAAAAGAAATCACAGACGCAGGTTAGAGAACGCGACTATGATTTGTGTCGGTTAATGTCTCCGTATATATAGCACAACGTTTCGTTTAACCCTTTAAGTGTGAGAATCCGGCTATCAGGGACAACATTATAATGTTAGTGCTTCCGAAATACCCCTGTTGTGATATCATCACCATAGTTTGTCTCATCCGGGCAATATTCTGGCTAAATGCCCCGACCCGGACAATCTCGACTCGTAAAACTACGCGATAACACGAGCTTATCACGAGACATGCACGCTGCCGCTCTACTAAACTAATCTATCGACAAGCGAATTGCCAGTGTAACACACGCCTCGCACTACCTAGTCTGAACTCACTTACCAGGCGGAGGAATGTGACGAGGTCAGTCTGTATTCTTCCGCACAATGCCTAGCAAATGGGGAAATCTTGAAAAACAATGACATTATGTAGACGAATTGTGCTCGTGTACATACCACGCCAATGTGATAAGAAATGTTAAAATGGTATTGGATTTGTCATGTTGATTAATGAACAGCAGATTTTTTGCATCTTGAGAGACAAGACAACAGATATAACAGGTTTCTCCATAAATCAGTTTCAGTTTGTGATATAATCTTTTGACATTCTGACAGCAGGATATGTTTCGGATAATACTAATCACTAATATTCCCTCTGGCCATCACTCAATCACCACCCTGTTTTTTCTTACTCAAACTATCCCCCTCCCTCCTAACTAATATTACATCTGGTTCTTTGTTGTTGTTGTTTTGTGTCTGTGTAAACAGTTAACTGAGGAGTCAATGGTTAGTGTTTGTTTGTTTGTTTGTTTGTTTGTTTGTTTGTTTGTTTAACGCCGCACTCAGCAATATTCCAGCTATATGACGGCGATCTGTAAATAATCAAGTCTGGTCCACACAATCCAGTGATTGACACCATGAGCATCGATCCACGCAATGGGATACGATGACATGCATCAACCAAGTCAGGGGGCACGGGTGGCCCAGTCGTTCAAGGCTCCGCGATTCGCTGTGCAGAGTTGCGTCCCTTGGGCACGCCAGAAACCTATGATTGTGGGTTCGAATCCCGGTTCGCCCCGATTATGTTTCTTGCTTTGTCAGCACCATACTCGTGCTCGTGGGTTTCACCGAAGTGGTAAACGTCTGATACCTGCATCACTTCGGGCTTTCCTCCCACATTAAGCTGACACGGCGCGATATAACTGGAATACTGTTAAACGTGGCGTTAAACCCAACTCACTCACTCAACCAAGGCAGCGAGCCTGACCACCCGATCCCGTTAGTCGTCTCTTACAACAAGCAGATTCGCCTCTAACGGTAAGCATGGGGTGCTGAAGACCTAGTGCTAACTCGGACCTTCACGGGCCCAATGGCTAGTGTGTTCGCTTATCACGCACACACAAGGACCAGGTTCGAATCTAATGAAATGATCTTGCCCATGTTGATTCCGGCACATATAGATCCCAATTGATCACAAAAGGTTAGTGAGGTAATGTGCAACTTGTCCATTGTCTGGCATTCTTCCCCGACGGATTGAAAAGGCGTTGAGGTGTGTTTGCTGTCAGCCACTGGTTTATAAGTTCAGACGGGGCTGCTCCATTGTCGCTTTGATATTCCTCATTACCCCGCTAAATGCATCGCATGGTATCAACAAAGTTCGTTGACGGGATGGTTTTAACGCCAATTTGAACGGTATATCAATTCTCCCGTCAGTAATCTGGGGGGAAGCGCTAAGAAGTGTGTGTGTGTGGGGGGGGGGGGGGGGGGGGGGTGCATGAGGCAGACATTTGTGGCACGGGTGTGGTGTGACTTGTTAAGAATCTCATTAAAGACACTAAGTCAATGAATGCCACACACCAGAGAGAACCATGGAGAATCCACGACCAGCTATCCCGGGACGAATATTACAACTATTGACAGACATTTGCGGTTCTTCAAATCACAGGACCACATAAGTATTACCTTACAAGAACTGCGGAGCTGACACACAGAACTCGTTAAATCAATTATTCGTCATATCTTTGCTTTTTGACACTATTGGTTTTCTTGTTAATTATGAACTCGTTGTGGACTCTTAACAGTATTCAGTTGAAATAAAACTTTCAATTAATTTGAATTATTTTCAGATAGACTATGACTACCTGGGAGATGCCCCAGACGCAGGAAGTGACTTTTGCCCTCCGGTTCCATCAGTGCTGCCTTCCGGTTCCTGTACCCAGACTCCCTGCAACTCAGATCGCGCATGCGCACACATTAGCGGGAAATGCTGCTACAATGGCTGCATCTACACATGTCTTTATCAAGTTGGTATTCCAGGATGTGAGTAGAAGCAAACTTGATTGTTTTAGCTTGAAAAGTCTGCGCACAATGAACTGAAAGAAAGAAAGAAAATATGAGCGTTACGTGTTGGCTCGCAAGTTGAAACGCGAAGGTCAACCTGGAAATCGGTACCTGCAGAACTACTTTGTGAAATCAATAATCAACTTCACAAGATGAATGAATAATTGACATCAAAAATATTTGAAACACACATGGTTGGGTTCACAATAGTAAAATGCAATACACTGGCTAAAATACGCGACAGCAGCAAATTAAATAACCTCAATACAATAGTCAGTGCACTCACGAATATCCAGAATTGGTCACAGTCGAAAGTTTTGAATGATTTCACGTTCTCTGTTCATGAATCTAGGAATCAGTCTGCGCGTAGATGGCGACTTTATTCGCCCTGGTCTCGCTCTTAAAAGTGATGTACAGACACGCCTCGCATAACGACTCAAACTGTGTTGTCAAGCCCAGTGTCGATAACTGTAAACAAGACTGGGGGCTAACGATGTCGGGAAACGTCGGGACTGAGAGAAGACTATAAACCACAACTAAGGGAGGTCCCTTTTAATTATTAGCTGTCAATTTCTCCATCAAACTCGATATTGTACGAGCGCCTCAATCAATTTGCTGCCACTTAGAATCACCGCTACACAACAAAAGTACTGCCACATGACATGATTTTGATTGTATGTTGTTGTTTTTTGTTTGAACGTTTTAGTATACATAAGTGATCAATTTTGCCATATCGATGTAGAAGTAATTGAGAATTACCTTCTTTAAATGTGCCCAAACATCAGGGTGAAATGACTTGAAAAAGACTTGTTTGAAATGAGCTTTTGATTCACACAAGCTATTTAACCCGTGAAGATCCAGGTCAGAATTCGTCTTCGGCAACCAATGTTGCTGGATCGGATTTATGTCATCATATCGTAGATCGATGCTCATGAGATCAATGACTGGATTGTCTGGTCCAAATTCGATTATTTACAGACCGCCGTCGTATAGCTGGAATATTGCTGAGGGCGGCGTTAAATAACAAACAGACAAAGAAAAGAAACAGAATCTATTCATCACAAAGTCTTGACCGTAAATGGAAATGGACGCTACTGCTGAAACAAACTTTTAAAAATTTGCATGAATATCTGGTTTGGAGACAGAAGGCTTTTGTCGTGCAACGGGAGAATCCATTAAAACAAAGTCGCATGAATGTTTGTGTGAACTTGGTCATGCACATTCAAACTGTAATCCTCCAGTAGTCGGTGTATTGCACATAAACTCTCCAATAGTTAACAACTAATGTTCACCCTCCAATAGTTATCAACTAATGTTCACCCTCCAATAGTTATCAACTAATGTTCAACCTCCAATAGTTCTAAACTCCATTACCCGATCATGTCAGTCGAACCGTGTTTGTGATCTTTGATAGACAAAACGTAAAAACGCACCCGCTCAATCAGTTAAGGAACTACGCTCCCCATTGGTTTGCATGTACCAGTCGACGTTCGCACGTTACCCTGCAACACATAACCTGGTTTTGCAGGCTTTTCTTCTGAAATGTAATATGCCGTCGTGATATAACTGAAATTCTGTATTTAAAAAGGGCGCTTGACTCCGAAAACAAGAACCGTCCTGTATATGTGTTAACACTATAAAACTACCATGATTTCCGACATCTGAGGCAAATGAAATGGAGACACATTAGAAATAAATTTATTTCAGAAAGACGACGGCACAGTTGCCCAATCTGGTAATACGAGTTTCATTGATTTTTGTGCTGCACTCTCGGCTGTAGTTGATTCAGTTACTGCGAGAGTTGATGTTTCATCCAGAACCGCTGTAGGTTGGTTGGTTGGTTTGTTGTTTTACGCCGCACTCAGCAATATTCCAGCTATATGACGGCGGTCTGAAAATAATCGAGTCTGGACCAGACGATCCAGTGATTGATATCCTGACAACTCGATCCCGTTAGCCGCCTTTTACGACAAGCATAGTCGCCTTTTACAGCAAGCATGGGTTGCTGAAGACCTTTACTACCCCGGATCTTCACAGGTCACCGATGTAGCTGTCAACATTGTCTCAGCCGATGTAGAGGCAGTGGATGTCAACGTTTTCGAAGTTGAGATAGCAGGACCAGAGGCGGCAGATCCCAAAAGGGCACTAAACCCCAAATACAGGAACCGTCCTGTATTTGTGTTAACACTATAAAACTACCATGATTTCTGACAGAAACAAAATTTGCCTGTCTTTTCTAAATGCCAATACCCTGCTCAGCTAATGACTTCTTTCGAGCATCCAAGACGTTTCTCATCCCCTTGAAATAAGGAGACTCGTTAACGTTAATCTGGATATCTTCGGCGATAGTATTGCGATGAGGCGATCGCGATCAGTTCACATAACGTATTTCCCCGATATTGTTCGCCCTTTAGGTTTCGTACTTCCACCAAGAAACGCATGAGATTTTTTTTTAATATCTGTTTCACGATGCGAAAGAGCAATACTGTCGGGGTTTAACACGACGTCATCACGTAGCCCATGGGGTTGTCTTTCCTTGACCCGCGCTTGGAAGACGTCGACGGCCTATCTACTCTTGTTTTCTGAGAAAAAGCCGAATTACAATTTAGAAGATCTTGCTCTGACACAGGCTTGCTAAACGGTTAGGAATTCCAAATACTATCTGCGTCATCAATGTTATGAGTTGTAACGGGAATTCCACCAAATCTGTATCATTTCCAGACAACTCATCTGATTCCAAGATATCACTTTTACCCACATCAAAATCTGGTACAGCCACGTCAAGTATTTCAATATGAGCATTAATGAGTCTTTCAAAATCTGAGTTAATTGCTGCCTGGTTCGAGCTCGTGTAATGAATGTTCATCACGTACAAAGACTGAAAGCTAAATGAGAAATCGCACGTGCTTTTCCGCGCTCATATTAGACGAGACCTCCAATAGTTTTGCTCGAACTTTAGCGCGTTCATGCGCGCAGTTTCAATCGATTCAGCATAAACAAGAACGACCCTCCATTATATATGCACGTGCATATTAGGTGGACATTAGTTTAACATGTATTTTGAATGGGACTTTGTTTTAAGTTGGATATAGTCCTCAAAGTCACGATTATTTTTGCACGTGGGGCAAGTTCTCGGCCTGACGGCCTCGAACTGACCCCACGTGCAAAAATAATCGTGACTTTTCGGACCATATCCTACACTTATTATCGCTTGCACGGATTATTCCCATCCGCGGGTTCAGTCGTCTGGTCATGGTTTTCTCTTAGTTTGTTTAAGCAAAAGACATCGGAGTCCAATCAATCGTTTATATAAATCCGAAACTTCCGATTAATGCAGAATGAAATGAGTGTATGGACGGCATTCCATCCAACAATGAATATTAATCTTGATTATGAGATGAAACAAACATATTCAACTGATTTATGACCGATGCGTTTGTTTTTTCCGTCAGCATACCTTTTTCAGGTGTTTAGTTTACATCGGACGAATTTATACTACGTTGATCACATCTCATTCAGTGCCACATGGTTGGTACCTTTGTGAAATAGGTTTCTCTGGGTCAGATTATTTTCATAAAGATAAAATAGATAGTATGTATGCACCTAATATACATGCAAGAGCCTCCTTTTAGGGATGAAACTATTTTGTTGCATATATTTTTTACAAGGGGCGGTGTGACATGCAGCTTATCAGAAACATGGTTATTGGGTTCGAATCCCAGATTCTTGGTTTTACATACACGACCTGCATCATCTAGGCTAACACAACAAAAATACTGTTCAAGCATTGGAGCCAACTCATATATTGTTGACACAATATTTTTTTGTTGTTGCAGTTTTTGATTGGTCAAAAGAGCCACGTCGACGTCTAAGTTCGGGTGAGTCATGAAAACTGTAAGACTTATTAACCATGTCATGATATTCATGATAAGACTGAATATGGATAATTCAAGATGGCCGTAGTAATTGTGCTTGAGAAGCGAGCATGTCCTTTCACTGGAGGTAAAACTGATTGTACAGGCTACACGGTCAAAGCCGGCGAGACAAAGTAAATATTTACTATCATGAACTGATCATGAACATTTTTAATTCAAAACATCAACAGAGAAACAGATTAAATTGGGTGTAAAGTGCAAAATAGTGATAAAAAATTATTTAAGAATGGATCACACCTACATGTAGTGTGTATAAGCTCCTCTCAGCGATCTATCATCTCTACACGCAATGTCACTGAATAAGCACAGGGATGTTGGGAGTTTTGTTAGACAAACCTCTTCCCGCAGTACAAAAGCGCCTAATGTGTAAAACAGCTGTATGCTCTATTCAACGGTTGATCTCTTCACGGGCGAGTAATAGTGAGTGAGTATGGTTTTACGCCGCTTTTAGCAATATTCCAGCAATATCACGGCGGGGGACACCGGAAATGGGCTTCACACATTGTACCCATGTCGGGAATCGAACCCGGGTCTTCAGCGTGACGAGCGAACGCTTTAACCATTAGGCTACCCGACAGCCCCACATGACTTGTAAGCATGTCCTCCACCGCTGCTCGCACAGTTTTCAGAAATCTTGCTCTGGGCGATTCATTGGCCACTGCAGGGTTCTGGCTAACGGGTTGTTACACTTCTGTATAGTGAAACCCCGTTAATACGGACATTACCGTTATAAAGAGTAAAGCCTTTGTATGTATGTATGTAGACGTTTCTTTCATCTGGAAAGCAGTGATTAACGGGGTCTGGTCCAAAATAAAAAATTTTGCTTGAGTATTGTTTTTCACGTATCTGATCCCACATTTTTTTCAGGTCGCTCCTGGCTTGTGGATAGTCCGGACACAGTCATTGAAGGTAATAGCCGGACAAGTTGTCTTAAGTTGATCAACTGATAGCGATGTCACATGGTATTAAAACTATATCAGGGGGCTACGCCTGCATTTGACGATCTTGATGATCCTGTAGGATTGTTGACTGATTTGTGGTCCTACTGATACTGACGCTGATGCTTGTAAGAGATGCGACTAACGGGATTGGCTGATGCATGTCATCGTATCCCAATTGCGCAGATCGATGCTCATGATGTCAATCACTGGCTTGTCTGGTTGATTTTTTTTTTATTTAAATTTTTTTTATTCAGATTAAAATGGATTGGGAACAAGTTATCCAACTTAGGCCTCCCTCTCTATGACTTGTCTGGTACAGGCTTTGTTATTTCCGGACCGTCCATATAGCTGGAATATTGCCGTGTGCGGCGTCTAACAACAAACAAACAAACAAACAAAACAAAACAAAACTTCAGGACAGACGTAACAGAGTTGTTCTTCTATTCGCCAGCTGAGCCGTGCAGTACAACTCCAGTAGAGGCTGACGAGGACCCCCTGTTGTGTCCCCATGGTTACGTGTGCAGCATTGATGACCAGGGAAATTCCAGAAAGGGAATTCCCAACAGGGGGCGCTGTGTTATGGAGAATAACGAAAACGAGGACAACGCAGGTACGCATATAGATAGATGATCCCACAGATCGTCTCAACCAGAACTCGTAGGGATTCATATTGGACTTAGGGATCGAGGCGGGACTGATTGTCCCCTAATATTCTTCAAAGAATAATTGTGCACCCAGTCAAAGGTTTCCTCTATTCACTACAGACCTCTCGACAGCGCGGCCGCCAGTACTCCCGCCGAGGATTCAGCGTCAGATGCGGAAAGAGAGGGTGTGTGAGGAGGAGAACGGATTCCTGATACTAGAGGGCGCCACCGTGATGAGAAAGGGGAGACAATGGTATACATTTGCTTTTCATGACCAGGACCACGATTTTGACAATTTCCACTTTAGCATTTTGGCTGCTCTATCACACACACACCTCACTCAAGCATTCCATCAACCCCCCGTCTCAATATCAACAATGATTCCTGCTCAGCCTCACTAACTCACTAGTCGTGAAACTGACGTGACTCAACAGTAATTAAACTAAATTTTCACCTCTTTCGGTTTTGCAGGATAATGATATTGCAAGGAAACTTGTGTACAGTGAAACCTCGTTAATACGGACACTGTTAAACTACACGTTTTGGGCTAGTACTGCTTAAAACGCGTACATTAATACAAAGTTTATCTGAAACTGATTCGTTAATTGGGATATGTATTATTCATACCAGGAACTCTATCGGGTTTTCGCTGAATTTGTCGTCCCTTCCTTACCAGTAGAATACGGCTTTTTCAATGCCTCAAAAAACCATTCCACTCTCCTTTGATTGTTTTCCAGCAAGTGTAGAAGGGGCAAGTTGGTGTGTCCAAGGAGGAGGCAACTTCGTACAACACGAAAACCAATAACCCAAAGGACGGAGGAAGTTTGAAGGTTCTGAAAGTATTTTACCCACCAGAGTTACAAGATCAAATGTCTTGACTGTTGACATGTACAACGATACCGTTTAGCGAATCCCAAACACTATTGCTGCATTGATGAGAACAAATAAAATAGCACCTTTCATTGATTACGAAACACACTGACAATGGGACGGTTGAATTTGGTCACTGTGCTTTCTTTCTGGTTCTGATATGTCATTGTAATATTATTTATTAACGCTACGATGAGCAATATATAGAATACGTTTCTCGAAAGATTCATCATTCCTTCACACGAGACAGGCCCCGTGGGGATTGAATGGGCATGTACAAGCGGCGACTTAATGAACCGGGTGGTCAGGCTCGGTGACCTGGTTGATGGCGTGTCATCATACCCCGACGGCGTGGACTGATGCTCATGGTGTCAATCACTGGATTTTCTGGTCCAGATTCGATTATTTACAGACAGCCGTCATACAGCTAGAATATTGCTGAGTGCGGCGTTAAACAACAAACAAACAAAATGACTGCCCATCCCCAAAACAACCAATAAACAAACAAATAAAACAAAATACGGGAAAGCAATTTTCATAGTTCCCCAAAAAATATCTAAGTACCATCAGTTTTTTTTATAAAACGTTATGCTTTGTGTCGTTTATATTATATATAAATTACTGAAATTGGTTTATCGACGGTCGATGAACTTCAAGAATCTGGCCTTTCCATATTTGCCAACACAGTATTTCTTATGAACTGCCTTCTGTTTTTGTCGAATGACATCTGTTTGTCATAAGCGCGTTATCTTTTATCAAACCCTTAGTTGGCATTCCTATACATACATCGCAAATGTCTCCAGCTTATGCCAGTACGTTTGATTGGGGCCAGGGATTTTGGAAAGTAACGGGATATCTTTTACGTCACTGCCTCAAAACATGCATTTCCCTGTGCAATGAAGAGTCAATTCACTTTTACAACACACCTTTTTCCTCCGAAATTATTTTAGGGGGCAAAAACATTAGGACAATATATCAAACGATCTCATCCCAAAAGGAATACAGACCCGTGAAGATTCCGGGTAAGAATAGGTCTTCAGCAACCCATACTTGCCGTAAAAGGCGACTATGCTTGTCGTAAAAGGGGACTAACGGGATCGGTGGTCAGGCTCACTAACTTGGTTGATACATGTCATCGATCCCAATTGCGTGGATCGATGCTCATGATGTCAATCCCTAGATTGTCTGGTCCAGACTCGATTATTTACAGACCCCGTCATATAGCTGGAATATTGCTGAGTGCGGTGTTAAACAACAAACAATCAAACAAACCAAGGAATACAATACACGCACGCACTTGCACGCACGCATACAAAATATTTAGTCTGTCTTCAAATAGTATTTATTGTAATTTCAGTGTGAAATAAACTGGGGTTGAAATCGACACCGTCATCATGCATCGCTGCCTCCTGTGCGTGTTGGACCAACTGGACTGATCATGAGTGAGTGAATGAGTTTAATTTTACGCCGCTTTTAGCAATATCCCAGCAATATCACGGCGGGGGACACCAGAAATGGGCTTCACACATTGAACCCATGTCGGGAACCGAACCCGGGTCTTCAGCGAGACGAGCGAAAGCTTTAACCACTAGGCTACCCGACCGCCTCGGACTGAGAATGAGACATTATTTGTTTCTTCGTGGACAATGGGAAAACATTGTGAAACTAAATGTCCACAAGTGATCATACAATGTACATGTATGTGGAAGACACAGACTGATTGGATAACGGTTTTTGATGCGAGATGATTGTGCATATATCAAATGTGCTTTGAATGTCAAATGTATCAAAAAAGGTATCAAAAAATATATTTATTCACCTGTAATATATGTTATATTTTGTTATTTATATCGTATACATGATGGAAGGTCGTTATGACAACAACTGTGTATACCTGATATTTAATTCATAATTTACACTGGATAAAAAAATTCATTCCAAGCATTTGCCACAAGCATGTATCCAATCCGGAAATAACATTTTTCTTCTAACAAAAACAAAAACATCACCTTTTCAAACGATCTACTGATTTAATAAATACAGAAAAGTCACACTTTCACAAACAACATAAACCGATACAATGCAAAATTATCAAACACAACTAAACCACGTTCTAAATGGCATAGCCGTGGAAAATGTTTCAATATTGACATTAGGAAAGCTTGAAAAATGAAGTTTTTCGTCCAGTGTGACATGTGCATAAGTTTCTGTATATGTGCTTTGTTCTATTATAAATCATCATGAACTTGGTTGCAATGTGCAGTTGCAGCTACAGGCACAAACCGGAGGTACAAACTAGTAACAAGGCAAAACATATCTGTATAGTATATACGTTTTGCTAATTGCATTCTTTCGGCTATATTCGGTTTATGGCTGTATGAAAACTATTACAATTAAACAAGTGTGTAACCCTTAATGAATTGTTTTGTAAATGCGTATGCATGTACTTTCAGTTATATAAATACACTTTTCGGCGGCTTTTCCTTTTTTACAATATTTTTTTCGCTGCGAAAATATACTACTGTTGTTTCGGGATGTTGATCAATCCTAAAGTAAACCAGGTAAGAGTGACCTCCCTTGTCATTAATATTATGGACATTGACAGAGTGTGTGTGAATGAGTGGTGTCACGCTGCTCATACAACGGTGCAAGTCTGCATCACTCTAGAGAACAACTGGATGACGTTGACGTAGTGTGTGTGAATGAGTGGCGTCACGCTGCTCCAACAACGGTGCAAGTCTGCATCACTCTAGAGAACAACTGGATGACGTTGACGTAGTGTGTGTGAATGAGTGGCGTCACGCTGCTCCAACAACGGTGCAAGTCTGCATCACTCTAGAGAACAACTGGATGACGTTGACGTAGTGTGTGTGAATGAGTGGCGTCACGCTGCTCCTACAACGGTGCAAGTCTGCATCACTCTAGAGAACAACTGGATGACGTTGACGTAGTGTATTTGAATGAGTGGCGTCACGCTGTTCCTACAACGGTGAACAAAGCCTCTATCACCCTAGAGGACACTTAGATGACGTTGACGTAGTGTGTGTGAATGAGTGGCGTCACGCTGCGCCTACAACGGTGAACAAAGCCTTATCCCTCTAGAGGACAACTAGAAGGCGTTGACGTAGTGTGTGTGAATGAGTTGCTTCTACAAGGGTGCAAGTGAAAACATTAATCTTTAATAAAGCCAAAAACTCGCTTCCTTTTTAAGTATCGTTGTAATGCCATTGTTAGTAATGCACTCGTTTGGCAGTGTTTAAAACCGGGATAACAAATCATGGCACTATAAGAAGCGGTGACTTGATAATGCACTTTAATACAACAACGGGTGACTTGACACTGCATGGTAATATAACAAGGGGTGACTTGACGTATAGCTCTACAACGAGGGGTGACTTGATACTACATGGTAATATAAGAAGGGTTGACATGATGATAGCACTACAACGAGGGGTGACGTGACACTGCATGGTAATATAAGAAGGGGTGACATAACGTATAGCACTACAACGATGGGTGACTTGATACTGCATGGTAATATAAGAAGGGGTGACATAACGTATAGCACTACAACGAGGGGTGACTTGATACTGCATGGTAATATAAGAAGGGGTGACATAACGTATAGCACTACAACGATGGGTGACTTGATACTACATGGTAATATAACAAGGGGTGACATGGCGTATAGCACTACAACAACGGGTGATTTGATACTACATGGTAATATAACAAGGGGTGACATGACGTATAGCACTACAACAACGGGTGATTTGATACTACATGGTAATATAACAAGAGGTGACATGGCGTATAGCACTACAACGAGGGGTGACTTGACACTGCATGGTAATATAACAAGGTGTGACATGGCGTATAGCACTACAACGAGGGGTGACTTGATACTGCATGGAAATATAACAAGGGGTGACATGGCGTATAGCACTACAACGAGGAGTGACACATCTTTCCGAGGCAAGGGAGCTAACTGACTGTAAACTGACTGTAACTCCCTTGCATCGGGAAGATTGGTGTGGCACAAGAGCAAGAACACTAAATCATACGAGTACTTTGTTTCTAAACCCGTCGTTCTGGTGAGTTAAACGAGAAACGTAACAGTGCCGCACTGATACAAACTGTAAGTGATTTTACTCGCTCCTTCGAGTGAGGAGAAATTAAATCGTGGTTACACGAGAATTTGTGTCCGCTCTGCAACTGGCGGTGCTACTAAACCCTCTAAAAATAACATGATTAACAGCATTCCATAATAACTATGTTACTTTCATCAATTTTGATTATTGCTTCCTTCACTACAGACTAGTGACACATTCCTCGGGAGCTCCATGTTTGACATTGACACTGCACAGTATTATTTCAGTGCTTTCAAGAGCAGAGATTCGTCCCTTGAAAAGGATAAGCAGCTGGTTCACATCCCACCAATAATCATCTTCTATCTGTCAACACCATACCCATGTGCTCGATAGTTACAAGTTATTTTAGGCACACACACACCTACACCCACACACCCACACGTTCACAAACACGCACACCTACACACACACGTTCACACACACGCACTCCTACACACACACGTTCACACACAGCACACCTACACACACACACACGTTGACACACACGCACGCAAGCACACACACATTAGCACGCATGCACACACACTCGTTCACCTACACACACACGATCACACCTACACACACATGCACACCGCCACCCATACACACACGTTCACACATACGCACACCTACACACACACGTACACACATACGCACCCCTACACAAACACACGCACACACGTTCACACATACACACACAAGTTCACACATACGCGCACCTACACACACACACGTACACACACAGACGTTCACATACACGCACACCTACACACACACGTTCACCCATACGCACACCTACACACACACACGCACACCTACACCCATACACACTAACACAATCACAGATGCGCACACCTACACACACACGCACACCTACACACACACACACGTTCACACATACGCACACAAACACACGTTCACACATACGCACACCTACACGCACACGCACACACGTTCACACATACGCACACCTACAAGCACACACTCATAAGTACACCTACACACACACGCACACCTACACACACGTTCACACACACGCACACCTACACACACACGTTCACACATACGCACACTTACACACACACGCACACCTACACCCACACCCACACGTTCACGCACACCTACACACACACACGTTCACACACACACACACGACGGCACCCACATACCCACACACCCCAACCCGCCTGCATCCCCCCCCCCCCCCCCCCCACACACACACACCCATCTGCCTGCAACTCCACACACACACACACACACACACACACACACACACACACACACACACACACACACACACACACAAACACACACACATAAACCCGCCTGCACCCCATCCCACGTACACACACGTGCTCGCGCGTATTCAGACACAACCACATACCCCACCCGAACGTAATTTGGATTGGACACGGGTGGCCCAGTTGTCTAAGGCGACGCGACTCGACGTGCAGAGTTGCGTCCCTTGGGCAAGCCAGAAACATATGATTGTGGGTTCGAATCCCGGTTCGCCCCGATTATGTTTCTAGGTTTGTCAGCACCATACCAGTGCTCGTTGACTTCACCGAAGTGGTAAACGTCTGAGACCTGCATCACTTCTGGCTTTCCTCCCACATTAAGCTGACACGCCGTGATATAACTTGAATACTGTTAAAAGCGTGCATTAGGTGTGTACCAAAACTATACTCTAATTTTAGGACATAAGTTCACATTATTTATTTACAATCCATGTGATTTTATTGTTCACTGATAAAACAATATGAAAAAACAGCGCCAGGTAATAATGCCTCGATTATCCCCTAGAACAGAAGACTGAAAAGGGAAAATAGGGCTGACAATTTTATAAATGGATCATTAAAAGATCAGTGTAAGGATAAGTAAGTCTCGCTCTACTGGTAGCAGTCCTACCAAATCATGGATAATTTTAATAGAAAAGCGACCTTTCCATATTCAAAATAATAATAAAAAAGCGAGAAAACCCTTTCCATAACCCATAGAAATATCTGCATGAAGCAGAGTCGATTTACGATTCCGATTATATCATGAGCACGTGTTTATGAATCACTATCAAATAGTAATGATACAAGGTGTTCACGAAAAGGTAAGCGTATCCTGCCCACCGGTGGCACCCGTCACATACACATGCAAAGGCAAGTCAATTGTTAACCTGAAAAAACACGGGAACATATGGTACAATCCAAAATAGGGAATTGCAGAGGACAATTTTGGTCACTGATGCGTCAAATTTGGACATGTCCACACCATAAAACATTCTACCATAAAACGTTTTGAAAGCTCTAATGGGGCCATGAATGTTGCAACCTTGATCAATTAAACAACTTCTGAGCAAGAGTTGTATGATGCTCTTTGAAATCTTTGTAGAAAAAACATCCTAGACTAGTACTGTACCTCAAGAGTTGTGAAATGAAGGCACCAAGGGCTGGATCTGCAGGAATATTGCTCGACATAAGGGGGGAAGTTGACTATTGGAAAGTTGATGTCATCCCACTTATCATATAGTATTGTAGATAGTGTTTTGTCATGTTGAATCCTTATGCAAAAATCAAAACATGAAATAGATAAAGCAGTCACGCTGGTCATATTTCTGGTTCAGAAGGGTAAATCCGTGGAAGGAATTGGCTATTTGATTGTTATTGAACGATATCAGATCATCGATGTAGCTGAAGCTTAAGAT